CCTGATCCCACCACAGCAGGGGTGAGGTCTCCACAGACAAACTGGGGGGCAGAGACATCCGTGCGTGGCACAGTCCCTTCATCAAACTCTCTTCAGGTCCCCCAGGGCAAGAGTGGCCCTGCTTCCTGCAGGAGCCTGGCCAACCTCTGTCCAGACTCCATGCTGCCCTCTCCACAATGCCCATGAGAGCTCCGTGGCCCGGCAGATGGGAACACAGGCCAGCATCCGCCCCGATGCCGGGTCCTGCCTCTCCTTGTTACCGGCTGTGGCACCCCAGACGCGATTCTGTCCCTCTTTGTGCCTCCATTCGGTCACCTGTGAAATGAAGCCGTCCCCCCCGCCCCGGCTGCAAGGCCGGTACAGATGGAGCAAGACAGTCCACGTCAGACTCCCAGCACACGCGGCGCCTGCACACGGCCCGCGGGAGCTGCCGAGTCTTGTCACGGGGCTTGTGTCCAAGTGTGTGATCCATGGTTCTTAGCCACGGTTGCCAAGCCTGGCAACAGAGCTGCGTCCGTCCTGAGCAACCCTGCCAGTCTGGGTCCATGCTGCAGAGGTTCCCAGCCTTTTCGGTAGCAGGGACTGGTTTTGTGGAAGACAATTTTTCCACGACCTTGGGGGGACATCAGGCATTAGATTCTCTTAAGGAGCCGCAGCCTAGACCCCTCGCATGGGTGGTGCACGGTAGCATTCGTGCTCCTGTGAGAATCTGATGCCACTGCCGATCTGACAGCAGACAGAGCTCTGCTCTCCCACAGCTCCCCTCCTGCTGTGCGGCCTGGTTCCTAACGGGCCACGGACCAGTACTGGTTCACAGCCTGGGGGTTGGGGACCCCTGCTGTACTGTATTTTGTTGTTGCTGTTTTCTTGAGCTGGGGTCTCACTCCGTTGCCCAGGCTGGGGGCAGCAACATGATCCTAGCTCACTGCAGCCTCGGCCTCCCGGGCTCAGGAGATCCTCCCACTCGGCCTCCGAGGAGTAGGACTGTGCCTACTGTGTCCAGAGCTCTCCTGTGGTCTTTCCCAGCTGCGCCAGCGTTGGAAGGGCTTGTCCCAGGAAGGCACGTGGGCCCACCTCCCCACACGGCACTGGTGCCCCCCAAGACCACAGTCCTCCTGTCCCTGGCAAGACCCCTAGGTGTGCAGAAGGGAGGCAGGCGTCAGCCGGGTGAGGACATCTGAGGATGGGTCGGGGACCACAGGCCCCACCACCGTGGTGCCCTGCAGCTCTGTGTACATCTGGAGGGTCCGGACAGGTGAGGGTTGCATCGCTGTCCTCCATGGCTTGTCCTTGAGAGGACGCCCCAGGGCAGCATGGGCTGGATGCTCATCGCAAGAGATGCCAGAGGCATCTCCATGGCTCACCTGGTTGCTCCCGTGTCTGTGCCTCACTGGGGAGGGAGTGCTTGGGGTGGCCTTGAGCTCCAGCCTGCCCCACCCGTCCCGTCCCGTGCCTGTAGGCAGGTCACTGGTCATCACCGGGCTTCCTTGTAGCACACGCCAGACGGTGCCTGCTCGCCAGGCACGGTGAGAGTTACAGAGAGGACTCCAGTCCATGATCCCCTCAGTGCCCGACACGTGGCGGGCACTCCGTAGGCGGCCACTTGTATGAGCACAGCCAGGGAGGCACAGTGGGACTCTGGGGACAGAACCAAGACCCCGCCCAACATGTCTGTCTCCACCTGAGCTCTGCCTGGGCTTTCCTGGTGCCCAGGTCATCCTCAGTGGGGCTCTGCGGCCCCCTCGCCGACTCGGCCACACTGGCATCTGCTGGGAAGGTGGGGAGCTTCCCCAGCAGCCACCAGCCAAGGGCACGAATCCGCTTCTCCCCAGGGAGGGGGACGGGGCCCAGATCGCCCGTGGGTACCGCAGAGGCCACCAGCTCTTTCCGCAGCTATTTGCGTTGCTCTGCACAGTGTTTTGGAAACATCTGGCATCAAGAAGCTGCAGGAGCCAGGAGCTTTGGGCTGACCCTGTGCCCTCGCTCCTGCCTTGGCACCAGCCCTCTGGGACCAGGGGCTCGCCGCCCGTAGTCAGGCCTGAGCTTTGGGCTTGCCGGTCTCTGCTGGACTCCCTGCACTCACTATAGGGCTCCAGCCCGGCTTGTGCACTCCGTCCTCAAGCTGTACACACTCTGTGCACGTGTGTATACTTCTAGGGCTCCCTGCCCCACCTCCCCGCACCCACTCACACCCACCCACTCACATGCACGTCCACCGCAGATGCAACTCCTGCTGCCACGGACGAGCTGTCCCCATTGCCCCAAAAGCCAACCTCTCTACTGCGAAATGGAGCTCTGGTGCAAGGTGTTGGGACCCAATGGGAGGAGGTGAGGGGCCAGGCACAGCCCTTGTGGACGGGTCGACACCACTGACAGAGGGCTTCCGGGAGGGGCCCCTCCTCTCTCCTACCTTCTGCTATGTGAAGGCACAGGGGCTCCTTCCCTCCGGAGGACCCATATTGGAAGCGGAGAGATGGGCCCCACTTGCTGGCATCTCACCCTTGGATTTCCCAGCCTCCAGAATGGCAGAAATAAACATCTGTCACTGGTAAGTCGCTTGGTCTGTGGCCTCTGTCTCAACGGCACGCACAGATTATGGTAAGTTCCCCACAGGCAAGCCTTCAAGTTGAGAGCTTTCAAAGGTGTGAATGTGCATTCGCCTGTCCCATCACATCAGTTTCTGTGTCTGATGTCCATGGTCCCATGCGTGTGTCCTCTAAAGTGGTGGTGCTTTTGTGTACTTTACTTGACAGGACTGTAGGGTGGATAGTGTCTTTATTTCAAGCTCAGGATGTCCAGAAGTGGTGAAAAGTGGTGAGGACGTAGCCGGTACCCTGTATAGCTGATCGTGTGAGTCGGGGACCAGGCTGACTTTGTTGGACTATGAACACCTTGGACTCAGGAAGGTTCTCTCGGAACAGAACTCACTTCTGTGTAGGTTCCTGTGTCACACCCACCCTGGCCCCAACCAAGGCTGCCCTTCCAGTCACTCCTGGGCCTCTCCCCTCACCACATCCTCCCTGCGGCCACAGACACAGCCTTGGCTCCCACCCTGATGGAGACCTTCTCCCACCTGTGGCCCCACCACCGCCGCTGCTCTCGGGCTCGCCTCCTCTGACGGTGACCCATGCTCTCTTGGACCCTGTCCCCAGCCCTGCTGCTCTGGCCGGATCCCCAGTGCTCAGGCCGAGGGCGACTCTGGCCACCAGTCCACTGGGGAGCTCAGCCCTCCCCCTCCCGCCTCACCAGCCTCTTCCCTCTCTTCCGGGAGTCCATCCTCCTGTCCCCAGCCTCTCAAAGGCAACACCTCTTAGCCGACAGGCTCTCATGCCCTTGGCACTGCTCACTGCAGCCCCGTAGCTGACCCTCCGGCCCGGGCCCCGACCTCAGCACCAGGCTCTATAGCCCCAGAAACACCAGGCCCACCTCAGCGATCCTCCTGCCTCAGCCTCCTGCATAGCAGGACTATTGGAACCTCCACCCCCAGACCATTTTCTAACTTTTCGCAGAGGCAGGGTCTTGCTATGCGGCCCAGGCTGGTCTCGAACTCCTGGACTCAAGCAATCCTCTCGCCTCAGCCTCGCAAATCCTGGGACCTCAGGCATGAGCCCCCACGCCCAGCATGACAGCATTCGGAGGGCCGCCTCTCAAGGGTCTTTGCAGACACCAGAAGCTGCCCTCATCCCAAGCCAGGTCCTCCCCTACTCCACACCATCCCGCCCACTCTGTCTGGGGTCGCTTCAACTACCTGGTCACCTCCCGCCATGGCTCTCGTGGCCAGCGCCATCTTTGTGGCTGGAGAAACCATCACTGCAGCCCCAGCCGTTCCCCCTGCTCCCTACAGGGAGAGTCACCCCACGGTCACTCACCTCACAGCTGCACAGTGGACCTGAGCACCCCATGGCGGACCATGCCACTTCCCTGGAGCCCGCACACACGCCCCACCTCGCCTGGAGTAGAGCCCAGTCCCCATCATGACTGCAGGGCCCTACACACAGGGGCCCCTCTCGCTTACTGCCACCGTGCCCCTCGCTTCTCCTGCTCCAGCCATCTGGGCTGTGCACTGGCCCTCAAGGATGCTGCTGTGTCAGGCGTGGTGGCTCACGCATGTCATCCCAGCACTTTGGGAGGCAGAGGTGAGAGGATCGCCTGAGCCCAGGGCTTCAAGACCAGCCTGAGCAACTTGGCAAGACATCGTCTCTACAATAGATCAAAAACTTAGCCGGACATGGTAGTGCATGCCTGTGGTTCCAGCAACTTGGAAGGCTCAGGCGGAAGGATCACCTGAGCCCAGAGGGAAGAGGCTGTAGTGTCTGTGAGCATGCCACTGCACTCCAGCCTGGGCGACAGTGAGACTCCAACTCAAAAAAATAAATAAAATAAAATAAAAGCAGCCAGGCTTGGTGGCTCAGCCTGCCATCCCAGCACTTTGGAAGGCCGAGGTGAGTGGATTGCCTGAGCGCGCAGGTTCGAGACCAGCCCGGGCAACTTGGCAAGACCTCGTCTCTACAATAAATCAAAAAAGTAACTGGGCGTGGCAGTGTGTGCCTGTAGTTCCAGCTACTTAGAAGGCTGAGGCAGAAGGATCACCTGAGCCCAGCAGGTGGAGGCTGCGGTGACCAGGAGCATGTCACTGAACTCCAGCTGAGCAATGGAGTGAGACTCCAACTCAAATAAATAAATAAATAGAATAAAAACATCAAACTCTTCCAAGGAATAAATAAGTCTGAAAAACAAGCAAAAAAACCCCACCACCACTGCGGTCCTCAGAAGCTCTCTGAGCAGGGACGCAACCCAGAACCAGAAAGACCTATCCCATGGCGGCCCCGTCCCCGACCCATCGGTCATCCTGGTTGGCGCGACTGGGGCAGCGTTGGGGTCCTCTCCCCGGTCTCAGGAGGCCCTGAGTGGTGCTGGCAGCAGCCGCTAGACCCTGGGAGCCCCCGACAGCGGCCGCACCGTGCGTGGAGCATCGCGGAAGCAGTAAGAACAGGCGTGGATGCAGAACAGAAAATAACGATCTTTGAACTGACAACAGACATAGCATCCAAGCACCAAGACCCGGGAGGGCGGTGCAGCCGACTGGCAGCTCTCAGGAGGCGGGGGCCGGCTTCCTGCCAGTGGGCCTGGTCTTCAGTCCCTGTAGCGTCTCCTCTTTTAGTGCCTTTAGGAGTTGATCTGCAGGAGAGCAGAGCACACTCAGACAAGGCACCCCCCCAGACACCTCCAGGCCGTGTGTTCCCACTGGGACCCAGGATGGGAGGGAGAGCCCCCCTGGCGACGAGAGCGCCTCTGGCTGGTGACCACATCGTTAGGAAGGTCTGTTTTCCGGAAGTGTCTTCCTTCCATGGCCATGGGAAAGAAGACGCCAAGGGGTCCGATGGTCTGGGGCCACCTCATGGCCACATGGACCTTTACGTGACATCCCACTTCCCTTTCTGAGCCTAACCCGCTATGTACAATAGTACACACTTTTTAGAACCATGTACCCTCCTGCAGTGATCAGAGGCAAGCCTTAGCCAGAACCAGCAACAGGCAGACACAGTCTGCAGGGCAAGTAATAGCTACGGTACGTCCTATCCTGCAGGAGGTCCTTCTGGCAGAACACCGTCATCCCCGACAGGGAGGAGCCCGGCACACCTGGTCTGCCGGGTCCAGACCCCTAGGACCCTGACCTAAGGTCAGACAGCACAGTGCAGGGCCCTGGGGAGGCTGTCCGCAGCTTTGAGGCCCCTTGGGGAACGTCCTTGGGGCGCCTCATCCTGCACCGTTCCCACCTCCCCCTCCAGATGCTCCAACTGACCCTCCCTCCTCCCCCTTACCCAGTGAGGGCCTCAGTTTAAGACTGAACCCTAAAGTCCGGGGGCTGTCTGTGATGGGCGGAGCTGAGAACAGGCTAGGGGGTGACTCGAGTTCAGGATGGGGTAGTGGTGGACAGAGGACAGATGTGGAGTCTCAGAACCCGGACCGCCCAGATGTTTGGAGGACAGGAATGGAGGCTCAGAGCCTGCATTGCAGGGGGCTCGGGATGGCAGAGGACGGGCGCGGCGGCTTAGAGCCGGACGGAGGGTGGAGTCTGGGACTCAGGGCTCCTGAACCTCGGGGGCAGGGGGAGGAGCCGGCTGACACCCAGCGGGTCTGGGCTCTGGGAGGCATTCCGGGCGGGCGGGGCTCCCGCCGGGGTCACGCACAGCGCCGGGAGTCGAAGCCGTCGCCGGTGATGGTGAGCAGCTCCAGCTCCTTGATCCGGATCTCCAGCTCGCAGAGCTGCTCGGGGTGGGGCGCGGAGGCGGAGGCGGAGGCGGGCCGGGGCGCC